AAAGAAGGGCACAAGAGAGATTTGAATGGAAGGACATAGCCAGACAGGCAAATACTTATCCAGAGTTATGATGCCAAAAGAAGAAGAAGAAGTCAACAAATATTTAGTAACTTTAATTATACTCCCTCTATTATACTTCTCCTTGCTATATAATCTTCCTCAATCCTGTCATTTGACTCCTTGTGATTTCTTTCTGTGGCTGCAAAAAAATTAAGACTACTGTAGCGAATTTGGAAGATCTTAGACAAAAAATAAAGAATCACATTGAAGAATTAAATCATATTCCGTGGTCCTAAACGATGTTATAGACTAAATGAGAAGAAGAGTTACTTTATCTAGAGATGTTGGGGGAGCACCTATATAGCGTCTTCTTTGATTTTAATTATTATTGTTACTTATAACTTTGTTAATTTTTTTGATTTTTGATTAAAGTTCTGTGTTAAAGGTTTTGGCTGACTTTTTTATGTTTTAAAATGTTAATCAAAGTTAAGTTATAAACCAATGATACAAATTCAGACTAAAATAAGACATACATAATTATTTGCTCAGATAACTTTGATGAAAATAATTTTGGATAGCTCATTATATTTATTCCGCAGAATTCGCATAAATAGTGCATTAAGTTATCCCATGCGACGTTGCCAAAAAAAAAATAAAACTTGTTTATCTAAAACGTCCCTTGCACCGTTCTTGATTTCAATGCATATATTATGCCAGCGAACTTTTGCAAGCATATGGAAATTTGCAATTTGATAGAAGGAACTCTCCGTATAGAACGGCAATGCATACCAAACACTATATCGAATTCAGTCGTTTTTCAAGGACCGATAAGCCCTCCAAATCCCTTTTAGGAATAAATACTGCTTCTCTAAAGAGGGGATATCTCCTTCGGCAGGATTAACTCCATTCTCGAGTCTTTATTCCTCGGATTCGCGGACTTCTTGCAATTGTGTCTATGTCTATAAACGCCTTACACTCTTTGAATTGCTCATTTTCGATAAAAGTTTTCGAAAACTTCGAACCGGATAGTCTTAGTTCGTGAGTAGATACTGATCAAGATAAGATTTTGTCGGAAGTGTGAGTTTAAATTAAAAATAACAAAAGTAAACATATTTTTCAAATAATAATAAAAGAGATACAGGCAGAGCAAAATAAAGCTTTTATTCCAGATAACTTTAATATTCTCTAAATTTCATATGACGCTCAAAGGAAAAGAAAATCTTGTTATTAGTGAACCCTTGAGTCATCGGATACATGCAAATTACATGAACAGTCGGGTGGTGTCTGTGAAGTCCAATTTTTATTTTATACAAAACATTAAAAAGGTTAAAATAAAACTATTTTTCTCACAAAGTAAACAGTCTTCACAAATCTTTAACATGCTTTAAGCACAGAAATTTTTGGCATTTGACACCAAAATACCGTGTTTTATGATTTGGACAATAGACACAACGACCTCGTGTATTTGGACGCAAAGGCGCTAGATCTGCATGTACTCCGCTTAATTTTTGGGCGATATTTCTGATATTCTTGTGTAAATGAGGGTTTCTTGCTCTGGTTAGCATGTTTTCTCTTATCAAAGCTAAGCCAATTGATTTCAGAAACAATCTTCGTTCCGAAACTGGTCGTTGTCATTTGCATTATGTTTGTGCATATTGTTTATCCCTTCAATGTTAAGTAAATTATAAAAAATTACCATTTGCCATCTTCTGGTGTTTTTGCCTACGTTATAATGGAGGAGTTGACGTGTTGGAGAAAGGCTATTGAAGAAGAAGGACTTAGGATTAGCAGGTCGAAAACGAAGTACATATGATTAAAAGGTAGAGAAATAGCTGGGGACATAGAATTGCTTGGAGAAAAACTAGGAAGAGTGGGAGAATTTAAATACCTTGGTTTCTACATATACGAAATACAAAATTATCGTACTCGGGGATCTTAATGCACGGATCGGAAACGGTATCATACCAGGTATAAAACAAAAGTACAACGAAGAAATAATTAATGAAAACGGCGAAGCATTAATAGACTTTTGCGCTAGAAATGAAATGAAAATCAACAATACATACTTTCCTCATAAAGACCAACATAAATACACTTTTAACAATAATCGGGCAAGCGGTCAATGATAGATTTTATAATCACAAATCGAGCGATAACTCCGTCACAAGTACTTGATGTCAGAGCACTAACATCTGCTAACCTGGGGACTGATCATAACCTTGTTTTATGTAAGATGCTACTAGAACGTCCGCAACGAAACAGAAAACCCCCAATGTTCATCGAAAAACATAATATAGAGTCGCTAGCAACAGATAGTACAAAACTGCTCTTTGAGAACAGGATTACCAGCAAACTAAAAGAGATCGACTTAAAATCCGAATGGGGAGTAGAAGATACTTGGCAAAAAATTAAGAAATGCATCAACGAAGCAGCAGAAGAAGCGATTGGAAAGCGGAAAATTAACACGAGATCGACAAACCACACCAAACCGTGGTTTTGTCAAGAGGTAAAAGAACTCTCTGAATTAAAACGCAAATGCTACCTGAGATATAAAAGCACGCAATCGGAAGAAGCTCATGCAGAATATGTTCAAATAAGAAACGAAGTAAACGCCAGAATAAAATCAATCAAAAGAGAACATTGGGCCAAATTAACTTGCGACATGGACTACGACCTATACGGTGCCCAAAAGAAAGTATGGAAAATGCTCCGCAACAGGAAAAAACCAGTTAACGAGTTCGTACAGACCAAAGGAGTACCTATAGAGACATGGCAACAGCATTTTAAAGAGCTATATGATGCTGAAGAAACGCTGAATATAAACGAAGGCGAAACAGATGTGAGTGCTACAATCAATGACGAAGAAGTAGAAGCAAAGATCAAAAAGCTAAAAAACAGATAATCACCGGGAACGGATGGTATACCCAATGAACTTTTAAAATATGGAGGCCCGGAACTTGCAAGTAAACTGGCACAACTATTTAACAAAATATTAAACAAAACAGAAACACCAGAGGAATGGCATAATAGTATCACAATCCCCATATTTAAAAAAGGACAAAAAACCTGCCCACAAAACTATAGAGGAATAATCCTCTTAAATACAACAATGAAACTTTTCACGGGTATTCTCAAGGACAAATTGGAAAAGCAAATCACTAATGCTGAAGAACAACAAGGTTTTACAAAAGGGCGGTCTATAACAGACGCAGTATTTATAATAAAACAAATAAAAGAAAAAACTATAGAGTTCGGCATGCCAGCGTATATTTGCTTCATTGATTTGACGAAGGCATTTGACAGAGTTCGCCTGGGAGACATTCTAAATATATTAATAGAAAATGAAACACCGACCAGTATAACAAAGATACTCCATAACCTAAATAACAACAACGTAACCAAAGTTAGAGCAGGAGACGAATTCACTGAAAATATTCCAACACCGGGAGGAATTAGACAAGGCGACAGTTTAAGCCCCTTCTTGTTTAATCTTCTCATGGGCAAAATTATCAACAAAGTAACATCTCTTAATCTCGGATATAGAATGGGCAACAAAAGAATTGGTATGGTGTGTTATGCAGACGATGCAGCAATTATTGCCGAATCAGAAGATGATCTCCAAAGGCAGCTCTTTCAGTTCTTTCAAACAAGCCGACTACTAAATATGAACATCTCTACCAACAAAACTAAATGTATGACAATAGCAAAAGATCCGCTCAGATGTAAGTTAGTGGTTGAGGACAACCCCATAGAACAGGTGATGCAATTCAGATATCTGGGCATAGGAATATCAAGCACCCACGACCCAGTAAAGGACCTGAGGAGTCAAATCAACAAAGCATCTGCATTGTCAGGATGTCTGCGGGAGATAGTCTGGTCAAATCCGTATATGCGCACAGATAGTAAAATTAGAATCTATAAGACTTGCATACGACCGATCATGACATATGGCATAGAAGTGCGCGAAGATACCAACAAAACGAAACAGATGCTAAGGGTTGCCGAAATGAAAACCCTAAGAACAATAATGGGGAAAACAAGAAGAGACAGAGTGAGAAATACAAACATTAGAGAGCAGTGCAAAATTCAAGATATTGTAAGATGGGGAAGGCAGCGCAAGAGGATGTGGTACAACCATGTAAGACGAATGGATGAGAATAGACTCCCAAAAATTGCCCTAGAAAACAATCCGCCCGGTTCGAGACCCCCCGGAAGACCAGCTAAAAGATGGAGGGATAGTTGGCAATCTACCTCCCAAGAAATTAACCAGAGGCAGCTTCAGAATTAAACAGATCGAAAGATCTACAAAAAGTAGAAGAAGAAGAAGAAGGTTTCTACATAACAGAAAATGGGACACTAGATTGAGAAATTGCCTATAGGATACGGGCTGGTTGATTTAACTGAAAAGGGGAATGAGTGGGGTACTTTGTAATCGAAAAATCGGGAAAAGGCTAAAAAGAAAGATATACAAGAATGTGCTGAGAGCTACGTTGGTATACGACGGTAAAGTGTGGCCGTTAAAGAACATTCAGAAGAAGAAGATGAAAGTAGCTGAAATGAAAGTGTAATGTTGGGTAAGACTAAAAGGGACAGGATCAGTAACGACTTGATTAGGAAAAGAGCCAGGGTGAATAAAGCCTCAAAAAATATTTAAGTACACCAATACATGCAGCACATTAAGACTGCAATGGTTTGGTAATATAAGACGTAAAAATAAAAATTATGTGAGTCGAAAAATACGAGCTGTTAGAAGTAGTTGAAATGATAGGTAGAGGAGAACCAAGGAGAACATGGAAGGACTGTGTTGCAGAAGACTTGGGGGAGAAAGGTTTAGGTAAAGAAGATGCGATGGATAGAAATAAGTGGCGACGAATAGTAAAAGTAAGAGTTCCCCATAAAAAGGGAAAAGCTAAGGAAAAAGAGGAAAAGAAACATTTAAGAGCTCCCGATATTTTTATATATTATATACAAATCGTTTTATATGCTAGAAAAGTACTTACCTAATCCAGCTTGTCCGAAGCAAAAGAGACAACCATCAGTACCGTTGATGACAGCATGGACAACATCGGTGAGGGCACTTGAACAAACCTCGGTCTAAAAGAAAAAATATATGTTGTTAATATTTTTGGATCATCATCGGATAATTTCGTATTGAAATACCCATACAACATTGTTATTCACTCCACTTATTATATTATTAAGTGGAGTCCCTTACAGTGATAATAGTTTGAGAAAAAAAAACAATATAAAACAGGATACACATTAAATAATAAACAAAATGTACGTTTCCTATAATCAAAATATAATAATCAAAATGTGATTACGAGATCGACCTCTGAGAATCATCCACTCAGGATAAAACCTCGCCATTACGTAACTTGTAAAAATTGCTTTGGGTATTTTTAAGAAATTAAAGACATTATCTGTGGAAGTAATTACTTTTCTAAATAAAAATTTGGATCGGTAAGCATTGGTCGTTCGAAAAATGATTATATAGGTAGGAAATTAGTAGGGGAGCTCAGGTTACATATTCGATATCTTGTAGTTATTATTCGCAATATTTAATACTTTTTCCTTCTTTAATAATAATAATAGCGTTTATTGTCCAACAGAATCCATTTATAGGACAAAATACAATACTTAAGTTAAATGAAATATTAACAATTTATAGGTAACTAAATAACTCTTTTTTGAGTATTTTACCTTAACATAAAGAAATGACTCGATCACCTAGGTAGATCTCAGCCCTCCTAGTAAGCTGCTTTAAACTGCAGTGAAATATATCGCAGTAAGCACTTAAGGAATTATAATAGTTGCACATGAGAAATAGAGGAGAATTTAACATAAGATTAGTTCTAGCTTGTGTATTTCTGAACGTAATCCTCCTCTTGGGATATATGCCGTTAATTTTGAAAGACAAAATTTTTAAAAATTTACGCTGCACCTGCTCTATAATTTGGATATGTACATCATACAAAGGTGACCAAATGACAGAGGCGTATTCCAGTTTACAGCGTACAAAAGTGTAATAAAGTAATTTAATTGTCTTAGAATTAGTGAGATTTCGACTATTTCTAATTATGAATCCATAAGATTTAAGTGCTTTTTTAACCTTTAAATTAACATGTTCAACAAAGGTGAGTTTATAATCAAATGTAACTCCAAATGTCCAAAGAGACACAATTTAGAAAGTCTATTTAATGCTATATTTGGTCCTTATGTTGACGATCTTCAGGCTATCATGTTTTTGTTGGCCTCTATTCGAAACTGTTCAGCGGAGATCATTCCAAACCATTGTCATTGTTTATCATCCCGGTTCTTCTTTGCTAAATACTTTGCCTTGATTGATGAGTAAAAAATTTCAGTTCTTTTATTGTTCGTATGCGTTCAATTACTTCGACATTGATGATAAATCGAAGGCTTGTGCATGTTTATCAGTTATTTAATACTTTCCTCTTTGGTGTTCGTAAATTTGCCATTAGGTTTCTTTAGAAAACCTACTTCTTTGCTTGTAGCATCATCCTTTGTTCAATTAAATGCTTACTAGGATTATTTTTTAACTTATCCTTTATAGCATTATCTTTTTAATCTTAAAAAAAAGAAAGACAAACATAATCGATATTAGAGAGATTCATGAACTGTATTACTTATATACATTTTTTTTATTTCGACGTTAACGTGCTCGGCTACTATGGCCAATTTCACAGGTACTATAACATGAGTTTTCATTACACAAACAATAAGTGTTACATGAATGATAATATCATGTTACACAATGTCTAAATTAAAATCTAATTATATTTTTTGATATAAGTGTTCATCTCTAAGGAAATGTAGTATAGCTTTTATTTGGTCAGGGTCGTTTAGGATATCTCGTACTTCACTTTTGAGACATTTTAAACATCACTAGTTTTAAAAAATTGAAAAACATTTTAGCTTGTTTAAATTGGAATAATGATATGAAAAATGTTATCCTTCAATAAGAATTACTATTTTTAATACAATAAACTTTAAATCTATTGGTAAAAAATTATTTCTAATAATTATGTTTTTGGTATTTCTCTATTTTTTTTTATAAAAGCGGTCTCACTATACATTAAAGCAGCGTAAGGTGCAGAACTTTCTCAGAAATCGTTTCTGCGTTCCATGAGACGTGTAACTATGCAGTTAGGTCTTTATTACTCCTTTTTTGGGCAATTAACTTCTGATTTAGAATCTGGAGACTTCCTTATAATTATATGCTACGGATAACCGCGGTTTAGCGAGCCAAGTAACTTTTATACAAGTTAATCTCTTTGAAAAGGCCATTATTCCTGGCTGGAGGACGTCGCGGATTGCCGTTTGGCGGCCGAGCGTGTAAAATAATTATTTTCTTTATTTCGAGGACAACTTGGTCAAAAAACGTCGTTATTGTCTTTAAACTAAATTAGTTATTGTTTGTTTCAAGACGGTGTTTCTGCGAAATAAATTGCCAATTTATCACGTAATTAATTAACGATAATATCAGCCATTCGTATGATTACCTCTTGTTTATTTATTTAAACTTAATGTGGACTGTAAACGATTCAAGAATAATCCAAAAGTTTTACGAGCGTATATATGGGAATATTTGTTTAAAAAGGTGACAGAATAAAAACATGTCGGACCATGATCCAAAAACAAGTATCTGTGAAGCGCATTCGTATAATATAAAAGAAGGTAATTGAGGGGGATTCATTTACAGAAAAGCGAGGGACACATGCCAACAGACACCACAAATTGGCTCCCAACATTCATGACTTGCTTAAAGAGCATTTGGAAACTATTCCGAGCAGTTGGGAAATGATTCCCAACACAAATCCGAACTAAAATATTTTGAGAATGGCGAATTAAATATTAAAAAGCTGTATGAGCCTTTTGTACAATACTATAAAGAAAAGACTTGCACAGAAAGTAAACAAAAACTATCTATTAATTATAACCATGCCTGTGCAATTTCATATCGCCTTCACAATGCGAAAGTAAAGCAACATATAGCAATGAGAAGGAATCTGGTAGAAAGAAGTAAAACTGAAAGTAGTTGCCTTGTCATTGAATATGATTATAGAAAAAATCTACCAGTTCCGAAACTCAATGTAACAGTGCGGTTTAATAAACGTCTACTTTGGTGTTATCCCTTTAATATACATATTGACAATGATGGGTCGTCTTTTATGTATACATTTATCAAAGGACAAGAAAAAAAAGGCGTTGATTCTGTTATTTCATTCGTCTATGACTGCTTGTGCAAAAAAATTAATGGCGATATCACTGAAATCAGAACATTTCAGTGGTAAAATTTGGAATGTGGCTACAAGTTTAACGTCACACAAGTTTAACGTCAATATTCGACATATATTTTCGGTTCGTGGCGATTCCTTTAACCAGTGCGATAGCAATTTTGGGCTGATAAAGTCATCTTTAAAAAAGAAGGAATACCTAGGGACGACAAAGCCATATTTGGAAGCAATAGTGCATTGTCGGAAAAATGTTGTCATGGACAGAACGCTAATCAAAAATTAGACTAAGAGTTTCGAAAGACTCTTTCTAAATAAACCAAAAAAAAGGAATTTGTTGTCAGTATTCAACAGTATGTACAAATGAAATACAAAAAGACGGAACATTGGCTTGTTCCCAAACATACATGGAAAATTACATACCGATCACAATTTGAAAAGGAAGAAACATAAACACAAATACTGCACTTTAAACTGTCCAAGTGGTTGGAATAAAGTCGGCGAAGGAAAAAGACGTGAGAGATCTATTTTCGTTTTTGTGCAAGAAGATGAACAATGGATATGCTGGATACTAGATGACGTTTCTGTATAATTTTCTTTTTATAATAATAACTTGTTTTTAATGTTTATTTTTTACGTCATTTACCAAATAAAGTTTTTCTTAAACTTATTTCATACTTTCGCAAATGATCTGTGGAAAAAGAGCCCATGATAAGCTAATGTAAAAAAATATATTTACATAAAAATGTGTCTATATCTTTGAAACATCTTATTGTAACTTTAGTTTAAATACAATGCTTTTATTTTAGCTTTCAATAAAGTTCAAAGTTTTAATCTTTGTTTTCAAAATAGTTGTTAAATTTTCAATTGCGTTGCGCCCTTTGGTATATTTGCCCTTTTTCCGGGGATGGCCTAAATTCATTAAGTAACGTCATATTTTTGGTGAATGGTTGAGTTCCTCGTGATATATATATATATATATATATATATATATATATATATATATATATATATATATATATATATATATCAATATATATATATATATATATATATATATTATATATATATATATATATATATATATATATAGTATGTTGGAAATATCGGGTATGTGGTCTATATTAAATAAAAATCTTTGTTTTTTTCTAAAACTCAATATTTCGCCATTTATTTAACAGCTTCATCAGGAGTAAAGAACTTAAAAGATTTCACACATAAATAAACTTGACATTAAACTAAACATTTTTGATAATGTATATGCTTGTTAAAATGTAAATATATATGAGCACGTTCATTAACAATAAATGAGATGGAAACAACTTCCATCGGTTTAATCTCTATTCCGAAGACGCAATGAATAGAACACTTCTGAGCAATCCGTAGGTATTGAAATAAATGGTGTTAGATTAAACAATCTGAGATTTGCCGACGACACCGTTCTGATCGCAGAAACACTTGAAGAGCTACAGACATTGGTGAATAAGATAGCAGACTGCAGCGAAGAATATGGACTATCTTTGAACATAAAGAAAACTAAATTTATGGTGATATCAAAATCAACACAAAAGGTCTAAAATTTATATTTACACAATGAAATTATCAATCGAGTTAGCAAATACAAATATTTAGGCACTTTTATAAATGAAGACAACGATAGCTCAGCAGAAATCAAAATAAGAATAGAAAAAGCCAGATCCATATTCCCCAAAATGAAGAGAGTGTTTTGCGGAAGAGAGTTAAGCCTTGAAATGAAACTTCGCCTGATGAGATGTTACGTACTTTCTGTGCTGTTCGTCGGAATGGAGTCATGGACGTTGAAAAATATTGATACCAAAA